CATCGGGCGAGCCCCTCCAGTCGGCTCAGACGGTCCCACAGCTCGACGTTCGAATTCGGGGGTGAAGTCCCTCGATGACACTTCCAATTGACGGCCTTGCGTGGGCGTCTCGGCCCTAGAATCCTCGAACACAGGAGGTTGGAAGTGCTGGGCCTGTACCGGCGTTCTCACTCTCGGGGCCTGGAATCCAGGAGATCCATACTCGGAAGTCGGAGACAGAACATCCTCCGAGTGCCGGGCATGCTGTTGTAGCGGCGTCATGCCCGGGAAGGAGGGGAAGGAGGGAGGCGGTGCGGAATTCTCGGATTCGTGAGTTCGGAAGCCGTCATGGTAGGGAGGCTGCTGATGTTGTATAGGTGCATATTGTTCAAAGTTGGGGGCATCAATCTCGACTTCGGGCGAGAGCACTGATTGAGGGGACAATGCGTCAGATGGGGAGGCGAGGTTGTCGGAGTCGTCGAATGGGTTGGATTGTGCTTCATCCAGCGGTGTTGCGTGGCCCGAATCAAGGTTTTGATTGGTGAAAATCTGGTGAGTTGGTGGGAATAACGATGGAGGATCAAAATTTGGTGCGGCCTGAGGCTCATCGTCTAGGTTGACGTCTCGAGAGGGAGCTGGCGTAGGTATGAAGTCGTCAAAAGTTTCCGAATTGAGATGGGCATCACGCGAGCTGGTGTTGATAGGCGATTGAGTGAAGGGAGAGGCGAAAGGCTCAGCGTCAAGACCTGCGAGAGGCAATCCACGGGGCCTGATTGCTTTTTCAGGTGGCATTTCTGAGTCGGATAGATCTTGCTCTTCGTCGAACGGCTTGTAAGACGCCTCTTCGCCGACAATACGGCCCTGTGATATCTCACTGACCGTGGCATCAAGGTCTAGCTGATTTTGCGCTTTCGAATCCGCATGCTCGATGGAGAGTTGAGGCGATTCATGGTCCAGATCAGTACCCTTTGAGACTGCGGCATCATGCTCATCATCCTGTACTGGAATCAAGACCACGGACAATTCTTCGTCCTCGACTAGCTCACTTTCTTCCAAGTCATGTCCTCCCCCAAAGTCGTCGGTCGGTACTTGTTCATCTTCATCCGCAACAATCTCACCTGAGTCGGCTTTCTGGATAGAGATGGCTGAGCGCCCCCCATTCAAATCCCCGGGTAGGAGCGATTCATCACCCAGGTACTCTGGCGGGCCTGAAACATCTACGTTGCCATGAACAGGCGGGATCGGGGTATCTCGCTCATTTTCCAGGTTATCAAACCCATCAAATGATCGGCTAGGATTTTCTCCCTCGTAAGAAAGCTCGTCGGTTCCCCGTTCCAATTGTTCTTCGTGTGATGTTTCTTGGACAAATTCCTGGTCTAATATGGGCATCTCGTCATGGTTGTCGGTCTCGATCTCCCTTTCGACAGTCAAGATGTCATCCATTGTGCTTGCAGGTGGGCGTGATGTTTCGTCCAAGGGGCTTCGCGATTCAGACGAGGATGCAGGCGAAGGCATAAGTTGCGCCTCATCATGGTCTTGTACCAGACTTCCGCTCGTCCTCTGCACAGAAGATGACTCCGGTTCCTCGTGGTTTATCTCAGGGTCACATACGGGTGAGTCTTCGACAACTTGTCTGTCCAGGTCATTGGGAATTTTTAAATCTCCAAAGGCTGGCTGTGGCGTGGTGATATGTGGTCCAGTCACCTCACCCGGGGCTGCGATCTCGACATCCTGTTGGTCTATCGAGATAGAATCATCATCGACTGGAGTCTCGGTCGGGTCCCCAAGACCTTGTATAACCTCGAGAGGTGAGGGCTCATCGATCGTCTCCTGACTTGTTTCTGGACTTGCGGCAAGGGTCTCGCGTTCAACCTGGGTATCGAGGGGGTCCGCATATGCTGGAGGATTGTCGACTTGCAATGGCTCTTTCTCATTCTGCGCATTTCCATCCTGGGAACTAGGAGAGTCTACCAAGTTTCCTGAAAGAACTTCGGTTTCGTTGGAAGGGACAGCGATAGCCTCGTTCAAGCTCTGGGGTGCTTCGACTGGATCCTCAGGACTGAAATTAGTCCCTGTAGATGAGGAGTTTCCTATGTTAGGCTGAACTTCGAGTTCGACGACTTGTGCATCCAAGTCATTTGATTTTTCCCTTGGCAATTCACTAGCTTGCACATCATCAACAGGCAAGTCTTCCCCGCTGTCTCCTTGTACCGTCTCCAACTCTGGATCAACTGAGTTTTCTTCCAAGTCATGTAGCGGTGGAGCTCCAGTTTCACCAGTGGGATCGACAGATGGCTCTTCCATGTCTGCCTCGGTATCTTCCTCGATAGTGCTCAAGCGTTCCGTGTCATCCTCACCTAGTTCTGATTGAGCAGAGGTTTCGGATTGATCGTCGACGAATTCCTGAGGCAAAGCTTCCGTCTCGGCAACTGGTTCAATGACTGGCTCGTCCGGATCTTTTGGTATCTCGCCGAATTCCTTGGTAGCTGGCGAATCGTCCACGGGATTCAACTCTTCAGCGTAGTTCTCACTTGAATCAGGGTCACTGACAACAGGGTGCTCGTATGGAGCCTCGTGGCCTTCCTCGGGCGAAGAAGCATCGGATTCAACAACGGGATCAATAGTAGGCTCTTCCACGATCTGTGGTGCTTCACATGGTTCTTCTAGAGGTGGCGTTTCGTCCATGTCTGCTGGGTTCGAAGAGCTGTCAATCTCCTCGCTTGGCTCTTGATCGGAAACATTGGGCTCTTCGGAAGGAGCATTTGACTCTTTTGGAAGCACTTCTGCGTCAGGGACCTGGCTACCTGTTTCGTCCGCTTGAATTTCCGGTGGGTCTGTTGGTTCCTCGAGAACAGGAGGATCGTTAGCTGGAACGAGCTCCTCGGTCACTTCTCCCTCGCCTGATGGCTGCTCGAGGGCGGCTGGCTCTTCAGTTGGAATGTCGAGTTCCTGTGGCATTGCGTCCGAATCGACTGTTGGGCTGGCGTCACGTGAGACCAAATCTTGCGGTACCTTGATACTATCTTCAGCTTGACCCTCGCTTAGCTGCTCAATCACTGGCTCGTCACATGGAACTTTTGGACCGTCCAAGTCGTTAGGTACGTCCTGCTCGTCGACACCAATGGCTTCAGGCTCATCAACATTTTCGTCGATCATGTCGCCACTTGGGGCTTCAGGCAATGTTTCTGGGCCAACAACGGGCGCTTCCAAGTTTTTCGAGATATCCGAATCGCCCATGATAGTATCTTGTGATTCGCCAGCCTCGGAATTGACAACGGCATCTTGTTGCTCGTCTGGAATCTCAGCTCCAACTACCGGCTCGGTTTCGAGCGATTTCTCGACAACTTCGTCTTCGAGAACGGGGCCACTCTCTTCTTCGGTAGGCGAACTCTCTTCGACAATCTCCGGTGCTGGGATGGCGTCCTCGGATTCGAGAACAAGCGATTGGTCATTTTGATCTTGGCCGGCCGGCATCTCCCTATCTCCATCCTCGTTCTTTTCTTCCACTGGTGGCTCGACGGCACTGCAGGATACCTTTCTTGATTGGACCGCCGACTTGGTTTCAAACTCGGCGTCACCAGACACAACCTCAGGAAGAATGCCTCTGTGTTCCTTGAGCTGCTCAATACCCTTCTCGTTGAAATGCATACCCTCGCTCAACCCAACAACATGTCCGCTGTTCTCCTTTAGAGTGCCATCCAAATTGTCAAGCTGTGTAGAAATGGCCTTCAGATCTTGAGAATGCTGGTCGAGATGCTCTGTCAGTGGCGAAAAGTCAATCGGCTTGTCGAGCGCAGTGATAGTTCCTGAGAGATTGGTGCCCGTAGCCTCAATTTCCGCTTTCAGCGTGTCAGCGAGTGTGCTGATACCGGTGGTGATAGTCGTATGATTGATGTCGATCTGGCTTCTGATACTCTCAATAGTTTCCTTTGCGTTTTCTGAGTTGGTGGCGCTGGATTCGACAAGGGCTTTCAATGACCTTACTTCCTCGAGGACTTGGTTCTCATCGTCTTTGTCGTTGTCGGATAGCAACGCAGTGGCTCCAGCTCCTACCGCGCCGCCCAAAGCAAGAGCACCGATAGCGGCTGTTAGAGTAGAATGGGAGTCTTTCGTCTCGATTTGCAAGTCCTTGACTGCTGCACCATGCTCGGTCTTTGATTCCTCGAGCAGGACTTTCAGTTCGTCGATCTTACTCAGGATATCGGTGTTTGTGCTTGTTTCCTTGATAGATTCTAGCAATGGTCCATGGGCCTCGAGCAAAGCATGGAACTCTGCAATCGCTGAGATGATATCCGGGTGGGCGGTGCTGCTGTGTTCGGAGATGGAGGAGAGTATACTTTTTTGAGATTCCAAGGTACTGGTGATAACTGTGAGGTGTGTTTCCAGGGCTTTAAAATCGGGACCATCTGTAATTGGAGCAGCAGTGGGTGGTTGGATGGATTTCAGCTGCGCGAAATCATTGGTGTGAGAAGCGTGTGCTTCGTTCGAAGCAGTTGTCGCATCCTTGATTTCAGACAATGTGGCAGCATGATTTCTGTGAATCTCGGCAAGGCTGGAAGTCACGTTTTTGATTTCAGATAATGCCGCGGTATGGGCTGCGTCTTTGATTTCGCCCAGCATAACGGAATGAGCGGCATGGGATTCAATTGACGAGGCAACGGTGCCTTTCAGCTCTCCTAACGAGGTCGTATATGATGAGTGGTATTCGTTCGAAGCCAACGCAGCGTCCTTGATCTCGCTCAGAACAGCAGTATGAGCTGTATTTGACTCTTTTAAAGCAGTTGCCACGTCTTGGATTGTATTCAGGACAACGGTGTGGCCATCAAGTTTCGTCACGACACCATTGATCTTCTCATCCAAGGTTCCAAAATCAGGTCCATCAGTAGGAAGACCAGGTTCAGTAGACCTGGATTTGATCTCATCCAGAGCGGCGCCATGTGATGCGTGTGACTCGTGAATCGCAGTTGTCGTATCCTTGATACTCCTCAAAACGATATGGTGGCCGTCCAACTTCGTGACCACACCCGCAATCTGCGCTTCCAACTCACTCAAATCAACGACTGGGGCCTCGGCGACAGGTGTTTCCAGAGACTTCGACTTGATCTCCTCCAGGGCTGTTGCGCGCGAGACGTGCGAATCGTTGATGGACGAGAGAAGAACATGGTGGTCATCCAATTTCGTCGCTACACCCGCAATCTGCGCTTCCAGCCCACTCATATCAACAGTCGGGGCCTCAGCAGATGCAAGCTCGAGCGACCGCGATTTGATCTCTTCCAGACTCGTTGTGTGCGTGACGTGCGAATCGTTGATAGAGGAGAGAAGGACATGGTGATCATCCAGCTTCGTGAAAACGCCCGCTATTTGCGCTTCAAGCCCACTCATGTCAACACTTGGGGCCTCGACAGCTGGAACCTCGAGAGATCGCGACTTTATTTCATCCAAACTCGCCGTGTGCAAAGAATGCGAGTCCTGGATCGCAGCAAGTTTCACACTGTGATCTTCAAGTTTCGCCACAATACCGGTGAAATGTGCTTCAAGACCGTCATCGCGAGTAGTAGGCGGCTCAAGCGATCGGCTCTTGAGTTCCGCCAGACTCGTAGCATGGGTGTCGTGCGAGTCCTTGATGGTATTCAACAGACCGTGATGCTCGTCAAGTTTCGCCGCGACACCACAGTGCGAGTCCTTGATGGCATTCAACAGACCTAAATGCTCTTCAAGTTTCGTCGCAACACCACCGTGCTTCTCGTCCAGCCCTTCGACCAAGACCTGGATCCTGTTCAACACGGCAGCGCTGCTAGCGTGCACGTCGCCATCTTCGTGCAACAGCGTCAAGATTTCACTGCTGACATTCTCTTCTTTTATCTCGGTGAGGAGAGTGGTGTGCTTAGATTGCGCTTCGCCCATATCGTGAATTGTGGTTAGGATCTCGGCGCTGATGTCTTCTTTGATCTCGCTTAGAAGGGAGGTATGCTGGACTAGGGTTTCGATGATGGTTTTCAATGGAGCCTCCGTATCAGCGCTAGCTGGGGGAACGGCTGTAGAATCATCGGGGGAGGGAGGTAAGCCGCGAGATTTGATTTCGTCGAGAGTTGTAGCGTGGTTACCGTGGGCGATCTTGATCTCGTCGAGGATCGACGTGTGAGAGCCGCCTGTGCTCTTGAGCTCATCCAGTATTGCCCCATGAGCCTCCAATTTTGCGATTATTTCAGTGACTTGAGGTTCCAAGCTAGCTCCTGTGTCCGCCGGGGCATTGCTGATTGCTCGGATGTTTTCTAATGCGGTGCCGTGATTTTCGAGAGAAGCTGTGTGGGAAACGTGTGATGTCTTGAGCTCGTCCAAAACAGTAGAGTGAGAGCCCTCTGTTGCTTTGATTTCTTCTAACAGCATAGCGTAAGCGTCCAATTTTGCGGCGATATCATTGATCTTCGGTTCCAAGAGACCACCAACATCTCTTCCGGCAGAGTTAACGCTCAGCGACTTTACGCTCTCGAGGTTGGTGCCGTGAATCTCGAGAGCAGCTGCGTAGGAAGCGTGCGATGTCTTCAGCTCGTCCAGAATAGAAGTGTGAGAGCCCTCTGTTGCTTTGATTTCGTTCAACAGCATAGCGACGTAGGCATCCAATTTTACGGCGACATCATTGATCTTCGGTTCCAAGAAACCACCAATATCTTTTTCGGCAGAAGTAACGCTCAGCGACTTTACGCTCTCGAGAGTGGTGCCGTGAGTTTCGAGCGCAGCTGCGTGAGAATTCTGTGATGTCTTGAGCTCTTCCAAGGCAGATGATTGGGATCCGCCTGTACTTTTGATTTCGTCCAAAATCGACGAGTGCGCCCCACCGGTACTCTTGATCTCGTCCAGCACGGAGCTATGGGTTTCAAGCATGCCGATGATAGCAGAAATCTTACTCTCGAGTTCGACAGGACTGCTTCCGTCGGCAGGAGGAGTAACGCTCAGGGATTTGATGCTCTCTAACGTAACGCCGTGTCCTTCAAGCGCACTCAAATGAGTACCAGTGTTGGTCTTGAGTTCTTCCAGAACAGTCGACTGAGCTTTGAGCTCGTCCAGAATAACAGTGCTAGTTTTGATTTCTTCGAGAACAGTTGATTGAGCTTTAAGCTCATCCAGAACCACAGTGCTGGTTTTGATTTCGTCGAGAACAGCCGATTGAGCTTTGAGCTCGTCCAGAATCACACTGTGGGCATCCAACTTTGTGACGATCTCAGATAATCCCGCATTGTTGCCCTCAGCAGGCGGGGCGACGCTCAAGGACTTGATATTCTCCATCGCAGCGCCATGGCCTTCAAGGGCTGTTGCATGAGTCCCGGCAATACTCTTGATCTCCTCCAGGACACTGGACTGCAATTTGATTTCGTTGAGCGCTGTTCCGTGACCTTCGAGGGCAGCATTGATGGCGGCTATCTGGGTCTCCAAAGCTGCACTGCTGTCTCCGGTCGGCGCAGTAATACCCAAAGATTTGACACTTTCAATGTTTGTACCGTGGCTCTCGAGAGCGCTTGTATGCGAGACTCCGAATGCTTTGAGCTCATCCAAAGATACACCATGAGCGTCAAGTTTGGCGATAATATCCGTGATTTGAGGTCCCAGGTCACTTGGTCCGGCACCTTGAGTAGTATCTGGATTGTCCGTCTTGATAGTTTCCAGCGCTTTGATATAGTAAGCATGCAACCCCTTCAACTCGTCGAACGCAGCTGTATGAGAGCCACCAAAAGTTTTGATCTCATCCAAATGAGCACTGAACCCCTTGATCTCGTCCAAAATAGTCGAATGCTCCTCTTGCTTGGCGACCATAGCGGCTACTTGAGCTCCGATATCCACATTGCCTCCCTCATGAGGAGCAGGCGTGATGGCTGACTTGGGAATCTCGTCTAAAGCTGCGGCGTGTAAGCCGTGGAGACTCTTCAGATCGTCGAATGCAATGGCGTGTAAGCCGTGGAGACTCTTCAGATCGTCGAATGCAGTGGTGTGAGAAGCGTGCAGGGCTTTCAGCTCGTCGAAAGCTGCTGTATTTGACCCGCCCAAACCTTTGATTTCTTCGAGAGCAGCGGAGTGCTCTTCGAGCTTGGCAGTGAGAGCGGTGATCTGGGCTCCAATATCCGAGCTATCAGCAGGAGCGTCCGAGCTGCTTGACTTGATGCTTTCCAAAGCAGTGGAATACGAGCTTTGCAGATCTTTGATTCCATCGAGCGCTGCCGAGTGTGCCCCATGCAAGCCCTTCAATTCCTCGAAAGTAGCTGAGTGTTCGTCAAGCTTAGCAGTAAGAGCTGTGATCTGAGCTCCAATATCCGAGCTATCAGCAGGGACAGTTTCAGGAATCTTGATACTTGCAAGCGCCTCGGAGTGCGAGCTGTGGAGACCCTTCAACTCGTCAAATGCAGCTGTGTGTGAGCCGTGAAAGCTCTTCACTTCATCGAAAGCAATAGAATGCTGTTCAAGCTTGGCCGCAAGTGCTGAGATCTGAGCTCCAATATCGCCGTCCTGGGCAGGAACAGTCTCTGGGTCAATAGATCGGGTGCTTTCCAAAGCTGTGGCTTGAGAACCATGCAAGCCCTTTAATTCTTCGAAAGCCGCTTTATGGGATCCCTTGATTTCTACTAGGATGGCAGAGTGCTCGTCAAGTTTAGCCGAGATTGCAGTAATCTGGGCTCCAACATCGCTGCCGTCAGCAGGGGCCGTCGCTGGGTCAATGGACTTGATGCCATCTAGAGCAGCTGAATGCGCTGTGTGTAAGCCCTTCAATTCATCGAAAGCCGCTGTATGAGAGCCCTTAATTTCTTCGAGGATGGCAGAGTGCTCATCGAGCTTCGAAACAAGAGGAGCAATTTGGGCACCAATATCCCCCGTATCAGCTGGCGTGGGAGCCGCCTCTGGGCCCGTGGCGTTGATTTTCTCTAGAGCTGCCGAATGCGTACCATGGAGGCCCTTCAATTCCTCGAAGGCAGCGGAGTGCTCGCCCAGCTTGGCAGTAAGAGCGGTGTTTTGGACTGCAAGATCGCCATTGTCAGTAGGAGCAGTGTCTGAGGTGATAGATTTAATACCTTCAAGGGCTGCTGTATGCGCTCCGTGTAGTTCCTTCAGTTCCTCGAAAGCTGCCGAATGTTCCTCGAGCTTGCTGGCTAGTGCTGAGATCTTCTCGCCAAGATCTCCGGTCTCACCGGCCGGCTCAGTAGATTTGATGCCCACCAGCGCTTCAGAATGAGCCCCATGCAGGCCCTTCAATTCCTCGAAAGCTGCCGAATGTTCGTCGAGTTTGCTGACGATACCTGAGATCTTCTCCACAATAGCCCCAGCGCCACCGTCAGGTGGTGCTTCCGAGGGAACAGGTTTCAGGCCCTCGATGGCCGCAGCTTGAGTTCCATGCAATCCCTTGATCTCCTCCAAAGCAGTGGAATGCTCATCGAGTTTGCCGACGATGCTTGTTATCTTCTCCCCGAGATGTCCAGTATCGACAACTGGCGAGGCCTCAGCACTCGCAGACTTGATATTTTCTAGGGCAGTTGAGTGCGACCCATGCAGCCCCTTCAACTCCTCAAACGCCGCGGAATGTTCGTCGAGCTTGCCAGTCAGTGCCGAAATTTGCGTCCCGAGGTCCGCAGTAGCAGCAGCCGGGGCAGCCCCTTCGCTCGCACTCTTGACTGCCTCAAGCACAGTGGCATGCGTCCCGTGAAGTTCCTTGATCTCTTCCAGGACAGTCGTGTGCTTCTCATGGCTCTCATTACTCGACTTCACCGCTGCCAAAATCTCTGAATTCGGCCCCTCAATAAAAGCATCAACCTTGCCTCCGACAGCTGTGATGTTGTCGTTGTTGGACGAAATCCCGGCAAGTATATTCTCCTTCAGCGCCTCGAGATCTGATTTGATCTCCTGCAGAGCAGGCCCATGATCAGGTACCGAGACAGCAGGGCTTACTGCATCTGGATCTGCGGGAGTTGCAGGGACAAGAGATCGCTCTTTGATCTCAGTGAGGACTGTGGAGTGAGCGGTATGTGAGTCATTAGATTGCTGGAGTGCAGATAATATATCTGGATGTGCGGGTGCATCCTTGAGTTCTGAAATGAGGGTCGTGTGCTCGGTTACTGCTGTCAGGATGTTTGTCAGGCTTTCTGAGGAAGAGGTGCTGTTGGTTTCCACCAGGGACTTGAGAGAAAGCAGTTCAGTGGAAATAGTGTCAATCTTCTCGGTTGTGTTGGACTCGATGTGGGATTTGAGGCCTGTAATTTCAGTAGAGATTAGGTCGAGTTTTGTTGTGTGTGATGCGAGTATCGAGTCGTCTGGAGCAGGTTTCTCGCTTATAGTTTGGACGTTCTTCCCAAGGTCCGGGCCGATGGATTCGAGCATGGACGCAATATCAGCCTTCACTTGATCCAATTGTGCTTGGATGGCTGATATTGTGGTATGCGTATTTTCAGATGTTGTTCTTAGAGAGTCGAAATTCTCTGCTGTGGGTAGTGAGGAATTCATATTTTGTACCCCAGTCACCAATTCCCCGACCTTCTCCGTATTACCCTCCATGATCGTTTCCAGGCCGGTCAGCTTCTCGCCAGTCTTTGCACTGTGTTCCTCCAACAATTCCCTCCACATGTTCATATCTGGCTCCCTCAAAATCGCAACTGCATCAGCAGACTTACCTTCTCCTGCAGCTTCCCCAGGCGGACTGTACGATGAATCGACAAAACTCTCCCCCTTTGCTTTCTCCTCTTCAGCTGCAGTATCCATCCTCGACAGAACATCCTCCACACTCTGATTCGTCTTTCGCAGAAGGACTTCATGGCTATACACCGCCTCCACGACCGGCTGTATCGTATCCAACGCACTCTTGATACTCGGCTTGATCAACTTCGCCAAATTCGCTGCAATAGCATTCTGGAACGCTTCCCCATTGATCGCTGCATCGACTGCATCGCGGATGGAATTTGGATCGTGCGAGAGATGCAGTGCGTTGTTGTGTGAGGGCGAGTCGATGGAGTTGGGAGACAGGACTGCAGTATCGTTCTCGTGGGCGGATGGGGGCCGGCTGGACCTGGAGACTCTGCGAATGCCGTCGAAGCGAATGCCGTCGAAGGACTTCCTGCGGCCCTCAAAGGAGGCTCGGATTCTGTGGGTTAAAGGGGGGCGTGAATGGGGCGCCATTCTGCGACAACACACAGCAGTAGACTGTACAGAAAGCAGGAAGAAGAAAAGGGCAACAATACCTTTATTGATGTTGAGAGAAGAATAAACAGAAAGGAATGACGGCGTATTGCATGTACCAGAAGCCCTATCTACTGAGGCACCTTACGCATTCATGCCCGACCCACTACCATCCTGCCTGCTGGGTATATACGAGTGATGGTATAGCCACGGGCATTGGTTGTAGTGTTGGTCTATTGCTGGTTCATGCGTGACGTCTTGACATCAAAATGTGTTGTCGCGGACACACCAGGATGCACAGGGAAGGGCATGTGAGTGGAGAGACGTGTTTCGACTGCCCCCGGTTGACCCTGGATTAAGTTGGACGGAAAATCGATGTTCCTTGCGACAGTGGTAGAGCGTGATATTATTTGATATCAGATCCGAAATGAGACCTCTTTGCTTTTCGTGTTCGAGTTATCGTGACATTGAAGCTGGGATGGCTGCGGGAAGTCAAGAGGGCAGCAGAGAAGGAAATTGTAAGAAAGTGGGCCGACCATGGAAGCGAGGATTGGTGGTCTTCTCAAAGCCCAAGCAGTCAATTTCCAGGATACTAATTATATATAGAATGAAGTTCGCGGTAGAGTAATGACGTTAACCTTGGGTGCAATGAGCAATGATAGCACAAAGACTTGAGAGGAGCAGCGCCGAGGAACGATGGATGGACCGGATCAAGAAAGGGATAATAGCCGAAAATCAACAAACCCTCGATACCGAACTCGGACGAACGTATCCAGCTAAAATTGGAACCAGCAACAATATCAAAACAGCAACAATTTCAAACATACGGAGAGGAACTCTTTCTCATGACGCGTTGCGAGCACGAACACGGAAAATACTGTGACAGGAGTATCATCATCGCATTTGCATCCAAAGGGACATCCATGACTTCGAACATCACGACTAGGTTCGGCCATGCGCATCAGACATTCGAACAATGCGCTCCCACGGGAGCGTCAATCTTCATACACCGGCCGAGAAGAACAAGTTCCGTATGCTGGTCTGAGACTGGCAATACTACAGTAAGTCGCCTGTACGGACTGTACCTCCGTAGCTGCATCTACATCTGCATCACGTGGTGGCAAGCCCACTACTATCCGTACAGCCTCGGCTCAGGACGTCCGGAGAAGCTCCGACCGACTTGATCCAAAGCTATCCGTACCACAACAACAACAACAAAAACTCAACACCTGAACAAACGTTCCTCAAATACGTAACTGTTCACTCTCTCCTATTTCCTCTCCATCATGGCGCCCTCTATCTCGTCCTCCACCGGCGCCCAAGTCAACAACACCATCGATACGAAGCTACCCTCAACTATCGCAGAAAAGCTACCCCACGTCCCCGAATCCACGCAAGAGCTCAAAGAGATCGCAAAAGAAGCCGAGACGAAATCCCTCGCGGGTCTGCGAAGTCTGGCAGCTGGCGGTTTCGGTGGTGTATGTGCGGTTATCGTGGGACACCCCTTCGATTTGGTGAAGGTACGGCTGCAGACTGCAGAACGGGGTGTATACAGCAGCGCATTGGATGTCGTGCGCAAGAGTGTAGCTAGAGATGGCTTGAGAAGGGGACTGTATGCGGGTGTGAGTGCGCCGCTGGTGGGAGTTACGCCCATGTGTTTGTTCTCCCTTCCCCTTCTCGGTTCCCTCAATATATCTCTAATACAAGCTAAAACTATGGATACAAATAGTCGCGGTATCCTTCTGGGGATACGACGTCGGCAAGTCGCTCGTTCGAAAGTTCAGCACAGTGACCGATAACCAATTCTCTGTCGGCCAAGTAGCCGCCGCCGGCTTCTTCTCCGCCATCCCCATGACCCTCATCACCGCTCCTTTCGAGCGCGTAAAAGTGCTCCTCCAGATTCAAGGCCAGAAAACACTCGCCCCAGGCGAGAAGCCCAAATACTCTGGCGGCGTCGACGTTGTGCGCCAGCTCTACAAAGAAGGCGGGGTGCGCTCCGTCTTCCGCGGCTCCTTCGCGACACTCGCCCGTGACGGCCCTGGCTCAGCTGCTTACTTTGCTACGTACGAGATTATCAAGCGGAAAATGACGCCGTTAGATCCCGTCACGGGTAAGCAGGGCAGTCTAAGTCTTTGGGCGGTTACGTGTGCGGGTGCTGCGGCGGGAGTGGCGATGTGGATCCCCGTGTTCCCTGTGGATACGGTGAAGAGTAGGTTGCAGACTATGGAGGGGAAACCGACTCTCGGGGGCGTCATTTCTGGACTGTATAAGAACGGTGGATTTAAGGCTTTCTTCCCTGGCTTTGGGCCGGCGCTTGCGAGAGCAGTGCCGGCGAATGCGGCGACGTTCCTGGGGGTTGAGCTGGCGCATCAGTTTATGGACAAGACTTTTGGTTGAGCGGATCTACGAAGGTAGCTGAGCTCGATCCATAGATGTAATCATTTTTAGATTTCCATAGGGAGGCAGATTTGGAGAGACGATGAAATGGGGAGAAGGCAAGATGTTTATATTGTATTCTTTCGCCGTACGACAACTGCCTCTAGAGATGGGATGGATTCTTGGGAAACTACAACACAGATAACTACAGCACAGATAACTTATAAACACATAGATTAACGATTTCAAATTCTTCTTATCCGTCTCCTTCTCTATCTCCCCCCTTACTTATCATTCGATCTCCAAAGCTATGAGGACAGTGCCTAATGATTTAAGGCTCTTTGAACTCCTAAGATGGCCAATGATTTAATAAGTGACTTAAACTAGGAAAAGCGGTGGTCAACTCGAGCATGAATATATCAAGAACCTCCGCGGGGGAAGATCCTAAAGAAGAGCTACTTGATTCCCAAAGTTTCCTTAAGAGAGTTTCTCAAGTCTTGGAGCACATACCGGTATGCTATGGTTCTACTGTAGCTTTCGAACAAAGAAGCTCCAGAGTTCCCAAGACCCTTGCTCCCCACTCTAGCACTAGAACTAAAAAGGTTAGCTCGACCGAACGCAAAGGGGTTAGCTTGAAAGATGTTGTTGTCTACAAAATATACGCGAGATATTTATTTCTCGCTTTATATATTCCCACCGACGCTGTCAGTTTGAATTTTTATCGTCACCAGTTTTCCACAGACTTCGATCTTCAAAAAAAAAAAAAACCTAATAGGCAAACCACCGCCGACTCAAAGGTACACTCCTCGAGGTCTTAAGATATGCTAAACCAGCTCTCGTCCCTCCTGATGATTCCTCTTTCCGCGATGGATTGCTCCCATCGTGAAGATCAATCTTACGGGACGAAGATGTCGATGTCGAACCGATCAGCCCCAACGCTAATGCCCTCCCAGCTTTATCGAAGGACACGAAGGATACGACGGAAGCCTCCTCACAACCGCAGGATAAACCACGATCGGTACATGTCGTCTTTCAACTCATACTCCATACCGGTTCTTCTCCCGTACATATATATACTGGCCTCACTGCCTACTTCGATGAGCGCGGCTCGGAATGCGCATTGAGCAATTGGATAACGACCCCAAAAACCTTTACCGTCTGCCGTCGAGTTCCCACGCCCTCATTTTTGGTAAGTATCCCTACTGCGAATTGAAGTCAATTCTTGTATAGATCGCTGACACGGAGTTAAGAGGACGATGATAGCGAGTCTGACATCGATCTCGTTAGCCCTAGCAAGAGTAAGTAAACCTCTTGCGAATCGAAGTTAATTCTTGTATAGATCACTGATGCGGAATTCAAAGAACGCAAGCAGAAGGGTTTCTCGGCGTATTAGTAAGTACCCCTTTTGCGATTTAGATTCATCTCTTGCATCGATCGCTGATACGGAACTTAGAGAGCAAAAACACTGAGATGAACAATCTTCTTGGGCCTACCCAAGGCAAGTAACCCTTTTGCGAATTGAAGTCAATTCTTATATAAATCGCTGATACGGAATTCAAAGGACGATGATAGCGAGTCTGACATCGATCTCGTTGGCCCTACCAAAAGTAAGTAAACCTCTTGTAAATCGAAGTCAGTTCTTGTACAGATCGCTGACACGGAATCTAAAGCGATCTCGGACGATATCATTGATTGAGAAGGGTACGCACTCAACTTGCACATCCGAGTCATCTGTTATATAGATTGCTAACGTGGCTTTCAGATGAGTCCCATAAGAAAGCGAAGAAGGGTGACGAGGCAGACAACACGGCCAATGTTCGCAAAAAGGCTATGAAAGGGTGACACGGCAGATGGTACAGCTGGTAAGCTCTTCTTTTGTGCACTGGAGTCATGCACCAAGTGGATCGCTAATACAGCATTTAGATAAAAAGCCGAAAAAGAAGGAATGACTCATTACAGGTCTAAGTTCAAGGTCCGTAGCTGAGGGCAAAGCTTGGCCTTGATTTTCTACTGGTTCTCTCTCAGAGCTAGCTACTTGAGGTGAATGGCTATTTTGGCTCCAGCAAGCAGCTGGCAAGAACAGAGAAAAGGCTTGGCTACAGATCAGTAAAGTCAACAGAGCAATTAGTCCTTGTAAGATTTCGGGGCCTGAGAAAAGTAAGTACCCCTCCTGCGACTTAGATTAATCTCTTACATAGGTCGCTAACTTGAAATTTAAAGGGCGAAGATACTGAGATGAAGGATACCGACCTTTCTGCCCGCCAAAAGTAAGTACCCCTCCTGCGAATTATCCTCGTATAGATCGCTGACACGGAATTCAGAGAATAAGGGCAAAAAGATTCAACAATTGCTCGTCCATTGTACATGAGAGCTTATCCGCTGTTCGCTTGAAACTCTACTTTCAATAACAATTTCACTTCTTATGTTGTGGAACATGGCCGACGCTATTCAACGACGTTGGATAACGTTGTCGGACCTATTCAAGGAAGGTTTCAGGGTCACTCGATGTAGCTATATGTACTCAAGAGGAGCCATTCATTTATTTAATGCAAGCTTTACAACCCCTCCTCTCGCACTAGTTAGTAGCAATTCTTCCAAGACTATTAAAGATGACGTCGATCAAGGTCCTCTATACCTACATTCACACCGTCTGCAAAGATATATTTCTAGACCTGATAATCGTACTTCTTTCGTCTACAAAGACGCCCATCTGCAAAGGCTCCGATACTTTTCTCTTTGATTCCGACCGTCATCAGCATCTCTCTTCCTCGACGTCCCTTGGATTTGATAACATGCCTGTCTATTACTCAGGCACCTCCTTGATCTTGTTACGCTTGACCTCTTCTGATCTGTATCAATGTCCTAACGTACGCTGTCGACCCCTACCCCTTCTAGGATTGCGAATACAATTGCATACTTTCTCCGATTGTTTCCGACCTCTTTCAATACCAATGAAAACTCTTCTGTTCACTCCGATGTCCGCAAAGCCTGGATTCCAATATTCCGATGATTCTTCTCTGTATCATATCTAGCAAAGGGGAGAGACTTGTCCAGCCTCATGTCATGTGTCAAGAAATACACAGAACATAGCAAACAGATGGCAAATATTTAAGCTTTGCCTTCTCTGGAAGCAAATATAAATACAGTTACATCACGTGCTCCATTCATCTAATCATGTGGGTAGTCTCGAGTCATGAAGATGACCTATATCCAACCACTTGACTAAAGATCAAGCTAAACATCACTGGAAGTCTGGAACACATCCACCTCGGCTTTCAATTCCTCTTCCTATATGTCTTCATTTCTTCAACATCTTCCCTGGCATACGAAAACCTCTAATTCTTTGAATTGTAAGCTATACCGGTAGTGGCAGTAAAGTCAAAGTTTCACTGTCCTTGTACGTATCAATATCTTTTGAAAGTTCACAGTTCCACCATTTCCACGTAAATTCAAAGTTTCATTGTCCTTGTATCAATTATCCTTTGAAAGTTCACAGTTACCCCACCATTTCCACCCCGCAGTTCGACTCCCCAACGTATCGTTAGCATCACCAATTGATCATGGCGTCCCCGACCGTTCCTATGGGAGTTTATCTCTGGAAGAGACTCGCATCTTTGGGCATTGAGCATGTATTTGGAGTACCAGGAGACTTCAACTGTAGGTCTATAGCCCCTTGCTGAGACTAGCCCGTTCTGACGCTATTTAGTGACTCTTTTGGACCAGATCTACGATGTGCCCGAGCTCAAGTGGCTTGGTACATGCAACGAACTGAATGGAGCTTATGCCGCTGATGGCTATACACGTATCAGAGGAGTTCCGGGAGCTCTGTTGACGACGTATGGTGTGGGGGAACTGTCAGCCATGAATGGGGTTGCTGGAGCCTATGCCGAGCATGCAGGAATGATTCATCTTGTGGGAATGACATCTCGGCCATGTGAGTATCAATAAATTTGGAGCTCGTAACATGCTTACTTGTTCGGAAAGTCCAAAAAATGAGAGCCATGGTTCATCATACGATGGAGCCAGGCATGGATCATGCTATCTACATTGGTAAGTACAATTTTCTCAATAATTATTACCTGCTATGGGCTTTCTGAGTACTCTTCCACAGCTTATCACCCAGAATATCTGTACTTGCTCTTGAAACATACATAATAATGCACGCTTACCTAAAATTCATACCATAAGGGATGAGCGAGCCGATTCGGAAGACACATACCTTCCTCACAGATGATGCTACGATGGCGGAAGAGATTGATCGAGTCATTATTGAAGGTGTGAAAAGCAGACTTCCGGTCTTCATCTACATTCCTACCGACATTGTCTCCGTTCAGCTTGATGCCAAGCGTCTTGAAACTCCGCTCGATACCACGATCACGAATAGCAAGACTGCCGAGGATTCGATTGTTAAATCGGTCTTGGAACTGATCAAATCTGCTTCAAATCCTGTCATTCTAGCCGATGTCCTTACGATCCGACATGGGGGACGAGACTTGGCAAGAGAGTTGGTTGACCTGACTCAATTCCAGAGCTTTTCAACTCCTCTTTCAAAAGGAATAATTGACGAGACTCATCCTAGCTATGGGGGAATCTATAATGGAACAGGTGAGATGCTTCCATTGGAAATTTGATAGTGATGCTGACGACCAAAGTTTCATTCCCTGGTGTCGCCGACGCAGTCCACAGCTCGGATCTGGTGTTAAACCTCGGTCCGCTGCTTTCAGACTCGAATACGGGAGCCTTCACCAGAGAAATTAAGGACGAGAATGTTGTGCTATTGGGACATGCATTCTGTCAGGTAAAAGACAAGAAATACGAAGGTGTTCATTTCCTGCCAGTTTTGAGAAGAATCGTTGAAGAGCTCAAGACAGACGCAAAATCGTACAACCTTCCACGACGACCAAGGGGGGACAGACTCGAGGTAAATAATACCGCCAGCGGTAATCATGATTCAAGCAGCTAATGATGACAACTACCTAGGCGCTCATCTTAAACAAGTCAACCTCCGGAGCAATCGAGCAAACTTATACTTGGCAGCGACTTGGAAAATTCTTGAAAGCAAATGATATTGTACTTGCAGAATCAGGGACTGCTCAGTAAGCGAAGCGCTCTGATCATCGGTACCGATGAAAGGAAAACGCTGACTTGAGAAATTCAAGATTCGGCATGCCAGATGCCACATTCCCCGCCAACGTTCGATACGTCACGCAGATCTTCTGGTCGTCCATCGGATACACCGTTGGCGCATGTCTCGGAGCTCTAGTCGCAGCGAAGGAGATGAAGCTACCTGGTCGAATTGTGTTGATCGTTGGAGAAGGAAGTATGCAGATGACGGTTCAAGAAATGCAAGTTGGCCTTCCACTGACATTCCTTGGCAGCGCTGCTTGGGATCTTGACACTGACATCACTTACTTCAGTGGCTCTTACATCCGCTACGGCTTCAAGCCTATCATCTTTGTTATCAACAACAATGGCTACTCCATCGAGCGAGCTATCAACGGACCGAAGCAGGCCTACAACGAGGTGAGTATGCTATGGGATCACCAGAAGATGCTCGAATTCCTCGGCGCGAGAAAGGAGAATGGGATTGCGAGCAAGAGCTACAAATGCACGACCGTGGAAGAGCTCGAGAAGGTTCTCACCGACGAGGAGTTCGCCCAGGCCAATTGCATTCAGGTAAGCGAGGAGGTCCCAAACAGTTACATCATGTAAGGAGAGTGGAATCATTGACAGGTGATAGGTGTGTGAGATCGTCATGGATCAATTCGATTACCCGTGGCGTTTGACAAAGCAGGTCAGCATTTTCCAAGCGAGGGCGAAGGCAATGGCCAGCTCGAAGTAGGTAGATTGTATATTCCGCCAAGAGTATCGAGGTCTCGGTACGGAGTATCTACATTGTAAATCTAGCTAGAATACTCCGTATAGAGGATAGGATGTCCAGGGTGACACGGATATATCCGGGCTCTTGCGCTTCCGGCTTCCATGTCCTCAACGGACTTCAAGTCAAGCTTTCGTTCCGCTCCGGCTGCTTGGCTGCTGGGACTATAGTCAAGTACTAGTCAGGCCCGCCATTACGGAAACGGCGGTATCGAGTCCCTACGGAGAAGCCTTCGCAGCTCGCTCGGTTCGGTACGAGAGCCGTCCGGTCTCTCGGAGAAATTACATGGTCACCAAACATCGTGCAAGTGATACGCTGTCGTCTCTCGCCTTCTTCTCGCGCAGTCTCTTGCTAACTATGCTTCTGTTCCAGCTGCCGACCGCTGCCGTGCTCCGTAGGCTGTTTGCTGGACGCGCAGGGCCAATTCCTGCTTGCCGGACTAGTAGCTTTACAGACGATCTTCTACCGGTATGTCTAGGCTGTATTTAGACAGGATAGAAGGGGATAGAAAAAAAAAGGGGGGGTAAGGGGTAAATGCGAACCGAGTCTAATTAAACAAACAAATATTGCTGCTCTTTCTTCGTCTACCCATGCACCCAGAAAGAAAAAAACTCATCTAGAGACTAGACTAGACCAGGTACGCATTAGACCTCTTAGATCTGCAGCAACCTCCTCCTCAACTCAACTCCGAGATCAGCTAACCTCTCTATCCGCCCTCAGCGCCCACAGGACTCGCACGCATGTCGACATTGATAAATCTCACTTATTCTCTCTCCATACGCCCAAAAAAACACCAAAAAAAAGGAGAGAGAGTCTCACGTACTGCAAGCTGCACAGTGAGTGCCCTGTAATCCAAGCCCCCCCCCCCCATACTGCTAAAATCAAGCACCGCGGTACCGGCGCTGAATCTCTGTCCAGGCGCTCTTTCTTCTTCTTGCTGTTTCTTCCAGCTGTTCCTTCTTCCAGCTGTTCCTTCTTCCAGCTATCGTCATCCTATTGATATGCGCAACGAGCGAACCACGCGCGGTGTAGGGATCTTCCTCCCTCCCTCCCTGTAAGCAAGCAAGCTGTGGGGGAGGAAGTGCTACAGTAGAGACAGGGAAGGGATCATACGTCGTGCAAGAGGGAATTGTCTTGGGGGGGGGGTATGTATGGGGGGTTGGTTTGTTTTGTGTGTCGATTTGCGTCCTCTCTTTATTTTATTTTATTTTTATTTTTATTTTTTTGGGAGGGGGGGAAGGGGGGAGGGGGAGGGGGAGGCTTGCAGATGGATGGAGAGGATGGATGGATGGTGAGGATGGAGAGGATGGAGAGGATGGATGGATGGATGGATGGGTTGATGTCCATGTGATTGGGGGGGTTGGTTATTGGCTACGTGTATATATCTATATCTATATATGTGTGGAATATATAGAACAGCTTTAACCCATCGTCGACAATCACGACTTCGTGAATTTCCTTTTCAAACGTTTGCGGGGAGGTGAGAATCTAAGCTCTCTCTCTCTCTCTCTCTCTCTCTCTCT